AAAAATGTGTCAGAATTCACAAAGTTGATCAATAAACAAAACTGTGAGCCTTTTACTACCAGACTGGGCTTCCTCTCTGTAACCACTTTTCCATGCCAGCCTGGAAAAGTCACAGTATAGCCACTCTCTTTCAAGCCCAGGTCAGCCTCCCCTGGAAGCTGTTTGATACCATCTTCCCAGGATCAGACTCTAAATTTTGAACTAAAAAATCATCAAGGTGTTTTTACATCCAAATGGTCTTTGGCACTTTCCAGATCACCAGAATAACAAACATGGGCTCCCACATCACGGAACTCATGATGAAATGCTCACAAGCAGGAGGAAGGCTGATCATAAAATTAGGTAGAGTTGGGATGTTCCTTATTTCTTTATTAGCTCACCACTACCATTAAAGTTTCCCTATGCTCTAGGCCCATAATATGGGAAGAGCTAGCAAATCAAAAAGAGAAAAGTAAGGTGCCTAGATTAATTTCATACAAGTAGAATGTTATGTAAACATACACTCTACAGTTCCCAGGACGGTGAGAGGCCCTAGAGATGCAACCATGCCTCACTGCCCTCGCTATGTTCTAAGCCCCAAGGTGGACAATAACCAAATCCTCACACACAGCCATGAAGCCCACCCTGTCAAGAATTTTAGTTCTGTCCATTCTGATACTGTTGCAAAGTATAATTAATTAACCAGAGCTTTATGTCTCATCTGCTTCCTTCCAAAGTTGAAGGCCAAAAATGGGTCTTTAACAAACAAGAACAAACACAGAGCCTCAGCGGAACTACCAACCCTGTAGGGAACAAACTCCAGCAGAAGCTGACATCACCCCTTCCAATACACACCAGGCAGACTCCCAGAGGTGGGTTAAGCCTTCCATCAAGGACTCAAGATCCAAAGCAACAAGAATTATGGAGGACAGAATAAAATTATGAGGGAAATCTAATTTGCTTTGGAATATGGTTGGGTTTTTTTAATAGTCTTATTTCCTAAAATAAGGAAAGTCTCATGAGGAGGCTTTTTTCCTTTCCTCTACATCTCTAACTCCCAATGCAATGGACGGTGCCTGTATAAACAACATGACACAGTCTTTGAAAAGGAAGCGTCAACAGCAGGACTTGGAAATGTGTTAGAAATGCAAATTCCCAGGCCCCATCACAACTCTAAGGAATCAAGACTCTGGAGGTGGCGACAGCATGGGTGTCTAACCAAGCCCTCCAGGTGATTCTAATGAACAACAAAGGTTGAGAACCCTTGGGCTAGGGATTCAAGATTTAATTCTTTGAGTTCCCACTGCAGGACAGAGTCTTGATTAATTTTCCTAATATTCGCGGCCCTCCGTGCAGTGGCTTTCAAACTTCAGGGTATAAACATGTCACCTGGGGAATGTGTCCACTGCACGAAGAGACATACTTCCCAGGATTTAGATGCCATAGGGCACGAGAAAGAGTACATTTCACTCCAGTCTGGCACAACCCATTCTGCTGCTTCCTGCTCCCTGCTCACTGTTCACTGCTCCCTGTCACCCCTGCACACCCACTCCCAGTTCTGCTTTCCACAGTTCTCCACTTGGAGGCCAGTGCCCACTTCTCTTGTATGACCCCAAACCCCACCGTCCCTCAAGCCCAGACCAGGTCTCTGTAACTATTTTTCAAACTTCTACCAACACTCCATGCCTAAAATGCTCCCACCCTGCATGTGGGTGACATCACAGGGTCTTTGTCCTCTGTTACACACCCTGGTATATGGATGCCTTTTTTTGCCCAAATAATCATGACTTATTGTGGGAGAAAGTCCACATTTAATGCTTTTTTACAACCTCCAAAGAAAAGCTATAAAACCAGCAGGAAAGCTGCCAGTCAGCACAGAATATAATGGAAACATTCATGTTCCAGAAAGAAAAAAAAAAATCAAAAAACTTCTCTCTAAACTCTTAAAATTAAAACACATAAAGAGTACAGACTAGACACCACACACATACAAAAACTTCAAAACAATTACCACACTTTTATACGATATGAAGTCATAAGCTCCACAGAACTATAAAACACTGATCCTGATGTCAGTAAATTACATTTGTAGTACAATAGAAATACCAATGAAACTTTCTCAAGAGGCCTGGCTTCAATTTCCAGCTCTGCTCCTGTTATTTGTGCAAACTGTGGCTTCTGTCTCTTGGTAGAGTTGAGGATTAAAGGAAATAATGAGAAAATACTTTCAAGAAAAGATGTAACAGCTAAGCAAAGTACTGGGTAATATTATTTCTACTATCTGCATAGACTGAAAAGGTTTATAATAAATGAAACAGCTCATGCTTAAGTTCTTCATACAAGGTCAGCCCTAGGCAAAAATAAAAAATAAGCTTAGCGTATCTTTTAGTACCTTCTTTGGCTTTCCTTTTTTTATATACTATATTCCCTCCTGTACCTTCCCTCAAAATAATAAATACAAACAACCTTAAATGGGATGTTTTTTTTTAAAAAAGATTTTATTTATTTGAGAGAGAGAGAAAGATAGCAAGAGATAGAGCCCGAGCAGGGGAGAGAGCGAGAAGCAGGCTTCCCACTGAGCAGGGAGCCCGATGGCAGGGCTCGATCCCAGGACCCTGGGATCATGACCTGAGCCGAAGGCAGATGCTTAACCAACTGAGCCACCCAGGCGCCCCTAAATGGGCTGTTAAGAGAAACATTCACTTGAAAAAGTATACGACTATAATCCTGTCTGTTTTTTTGTGCGGCAGGCCCCCAAAAATAAACACAAAACCATACTACTGTACTACTAAAAAAGAAAGGCAGCTTTCTTTCCTCATCAGCAGGGCCAGTAAACTCTACATGCAATTACAAAAGAAAATAAGAAAGCTTATCTCAGGGGAAGCAGAAATTATTAGAAGCCACTATTTCCCAGAAATAAGCCGCTAAAGGATCGAGCTTAACAACAATAAAAACCCATCCTAAGATGGTTGTTTGTGGAAGAAAGAAACCAATCCTTTCCCAAAGAAAGTAATCTCTGAAAATACAGCAAAGAAAACTGTGTATCTAAGGAACTTCTACTCTCATCTGTACTTTCCTCACAATTAACTACAATACCACCAACATATAATGTACATAGTCTTCTAAATGGAATTTGGTATATAAAAACCCACCTATGAAAAAAGTATTTTCTAACAATAAAAAGCACATATCATGCCACACCAAAAATAGAAACTTACTGAATGCCCAAAAAATGACCCCAAAAAACTATTCAGATGGGACCTACATAAAAAGAAATTATGCTTTGCAGGTGCCTGGGTGGCTCAGTTGGTTAAGCGACTGCCTTCAGCTCAGGTCATGATCCCGGAGTCCCAGGATCGAGTCCCGCATCAGGCTCCCTGCTCAGTGGGGAGTCTGCTTCTCCCTCTGACCCTCCCCCGTCTCGTGCTCTCTCTCTCTCTCTAAGTAAATAAAGAAAAATCTTAAAAAAAAAAAAAAAAGAAATCAGGCTTTGCTTTCTAACCACATGATTTTCAAAAGAAGAAAAAATACTCATCAAATATAGTAAGAAATACACTTTGAATTTTTCCATTTAAATAGTTTTCTCAGAGCATCTTTCAGAACTAGTGTTTCATGAAAAACATTTTGGGAAACATTGTTTAATTCATTAACAAATACTGGATAACTGGGAAGAAGTGATGGAAAACTTTTTAAAACATACATAATGAACCACTGAAATTACTAAAACATTACCGAGTGAAAAAGGCCAGACACAAAAGAGGACACTACTACATGATTCCATTTACATGAAGTTCTAGAACAGGCAAAACTAATCAACAGTAAAGAAAGATCAGACCAGTGGTTGCCTCTGGAAAATGGGGTCAGGGATGGGCCAGGAAGGGGCCCAAGGGAACTTTCTGAGTGAGATGTAATGTTGAGAGAAGTTTAGGTTATACAGGTTACATTTATCAAAACTTGTGGAACAGTAAACTTAAAATATATGCATTTCATTATGCATACATATTACTTAAAGACAAAAAACTAAACTGAACTCAATCAAGTAAATGATATGTCTGAGGGAGCTGGGTAAGATGCACCAATGGACAGAAGAGATCCAGGAAGCCCTGAGATAAACAAGTGAAAAGAAACACTTGTGGTAGGATCTGGGGGGTGGGTTTGCAGCTGATCACTATGTAGATATGTCAGTTGTTCTGGGTGTATGGAAATTTTACCAATGAAATATCAGGGAAAAAAGAGGAAACTCTACTAGATGTTATAACCAAAAAAATAAACTAATGTTTTCCAGTGTATTTTCAAATGGATACTATCTCCATTCTACAAGGAGAAGAAGAACCACTTTCTAAAGTAATTTTTTATCCACCTTGATGACTTTCAAATAGCGGGACCGACAAACTTCGACAGATCTCAAGAGGGGCTTTTCAGATTCTACAGGTCTGGGGTGGATACAGGCATCCATTTCTTTTCAAAGGCTCAACAGTTTCTGATTCATGGCCAAAATCAAGACCAACTGAATTGTCATTGAAAGTCTTGTTGACTTTTCATAACAACAGGCCTAAACAAGAGTATTTACTGGTATTTCCCTGTGAAAAATACAAGATTAAAAAAAATAAGGGGCCAAGTCCAGTCCACAGGCCAAAGGCTTCCAAAAGTGTTTTATATGTTGCCACAGGAGAGTGATACAGGAAAAATTTCAGGAATAATTGTTTCACTCAATCTTACAATAATCACTATTTATAGTTATCCAAGGCAAGATATATTATAAAACTTAAAAGAAGAAATATTAACTGGGAAGGACACCACAGCAAGACAGCTTGCAATGAAAAGACCTTCATTCACAAAGAGCAATGAAATCCAGGTAGCTCATAATGTTAACTACAATGCAAACAATCTCCAAAGTGAAAACAAAATTTCAAAGAGTTACGCTTAAACACTCCTATTCCTATTGCACATTCCAAAATTTCTATAAAATACGATTTATAAAGGTCCTTACAAAATGAAAACTACTAGTAAGAGGTCCTTACCTTTTCTAGGAGGAAGCTCTCCATTCTGGTTTAATTCTGTCCCCGTATATACAATTTCTCCATCTTTAACCATTTCATTCCACAAGCCACAGAGCCCATCTCTTGTGAATGCAAGCTGGTAATGATAAATAACATAAACTTACAGAATAATCATACAATGCAATTCTTAAAGAATGATATGATTAAAAAAAACTCACTTCCTCTCATTTATTCAGTCAACATTTAATAAAAATCATCCCAAAAAACATAAAGTGAAAAAGGCACAGTGCATAACAGTATATAAACAATGTTAACTTCTGCATAAGATACAAGAAAAAAGACATGCACATGTGCTCTGGAAAGATAAACCAAAAACGAATAATAATGATTACCTATGGAGAGACACCTGTGACAAGGGAACATGGCAGTACAGATGAATGAAAGCAAGATTTTGAGTAAACTTTATATATTTTTACTTCTAAACATATAAATGATTTTCATCTTCAAAAATTAAAATTAAATCATAAAAAAGAAAAATCTACAACTGGTAAAAAGCAAATTAACCTATGTTTATCACAAAGAAAAGTATTTCAGGGGTCTTTTCAATTATACATCTTTAGTCAAATATACTCTAAAGGAAAAATATCTTAAACTTTACTCATTGGTCTTACTGATAATCATAGTATTGATATTAAAATCTTAAAACTATCTCATATATATTGTATGATACAGCAATGTTAATAAAATAAAACATGTTTACAACAGTTATGTTAGTGTTACTAGCAACAAAGGTTTTAAGTGTGAAAGAGATAAATAGCAAGGATATTTTTAAGAACAAATTGAATTGGAAATCTCAATACAAATTTATATTTGAATACATCTGCTTGGGAAGGAGCTAGAATGAATGACAGACATTCTGAGAGCAATGAGTACTCCCAGCACCCAGACATCAATTTTTAAGTCTCACTTCCCATAAACAAAACCTGGGCTACTGGAGAAAAAAGGCTGATTCCAGGTCCAGGACCAATAAAATGAGCCTGGAATATTTTGTGTTTGTACCCCAAAAAAGCTGTGTAAGGCCTTATGGGGACTCTACTGGCCAAATTTAAAACAATTTTGAGCATCGAAATACATAATTACAGTGGACTGCAAAAGTAAATAAAAACACAAGTCCACAGTGATATTCAAAGAAAAAAAACCAAAAATGCTCTCACTTGTCAGTACTTATGAGACAAAAAAGGCTTCCCAGAGGAAGAAGCCAATGAGGGCAGGGGCACAATAGACACCCAGAGAAGGCATCCATTCTGAAACTGCAGGGACAACAGAAGCCCTCTTATCAGAAACACAAAACACTTTACACTAAAATGGGCACATCTGTTTGGCCATCTTTTAACGAAAGACCAGCACCTTTTCTTTATTTACAAGTCCACTAACTTGTTACTTGTCATCATTCAAGCAGGCACCACCCTTATGAGGCATCCACTATTTCCAGTCTCCATTTCTTTACTTTTTTAAAAAACGATTTTATTTATTTATTTGAGAGAGAAAGAAAGAGCATGCGAGCATGAGCTGGGGGAGAGGGAGAGGGAGAAGCAGACTCCCTGCTAAGTAGGAAGTCTGACGCTTCACTCAATCCCAGGACCCCAGAATCATGACCTGAGCCGAAGGCAGACATTTAACCTACTGAGCCACCCAGGCGCCCCTCCATTTCTTTAAATGTAGCAAGAATTAGAGTGCCTGGGTGGCTCAGTTGGTTAAGCTACTGTCTTCGGCTCAGGTCATGATCCTGGGGTCCCTGGATCAAGTCCCGCATCGGGCTCCCTGCTCGGCGAGGAGCCTGCTTCTCCCTCTAACCCTCCCCCCTCTCATGTACTCTCTCTCTCTCTGATTCTCACTCTCTCAAATAAATAAATAAATCTTAAATAAATAAATAAATAAATAAATAAATAAATGTAGCAAGAATTAAAGGGCACTCTGTGAGCAATCTCAGTATAGAATTCTTCTAGACTTTCAAGACTTTTTTTTTTTTTTAAGCTTTTATTTATTTATTCATGAGAGAGAGAGAGAGGCAGAGGGAGAAGCAGGCTCCCAAGGAGCAGGGAGCCTGATGCGGGACTCGATCCCAGGACCCTGAGATCATGACCTGAGCCGAAGGCAGATGCTTAACCATCTGAGCCACCCAGGTGCCCCGACTTTCAAGACATTTTCCCTAATCCTTTATAGTTTTCTTTTACCTAACCTGTTCAAGTATTTTTTAGCATCTCACTTTTTTTTTTTAAGATTTTATTTATTTATTTGACAGAGAGAGAGATAGCGAGAGCAGGAACACAAGCAGGGGGAGAGGGAGAAGCAGGCTTCCTGCCGAGCAGGGAGCCCAATGTGGGACTTGATCCCAGCATCCTGGGATCATGACCTGAGCCAAAGGCAGAGGCTTAACGGACTGAGCCACCCAGGCGCCCTAGCATCTCACTTTTATCCAAAGCATGTGTAGCAAGCAAAACTCTAAGACAGTCTTCAAATCCTCATCCCTTGCTGCACACATATCCTGTGTAATGCCCTCTGAGTGTGAGTAGGACCCATGAATAAGATGGGACATCACACCTGTGACCAGGTTTTGTTTCCATCTATGGCAAAGGTGAAGGAACTTCTCATATATAATTAAAGTCCCACAACTGTTGATTTCTAGTTATCATAAGGAAGATTATCCTCGGGCCTTACTTAATCAGGTGAAAGCCCTTCAGAGTATGGGGCCATCCAGAAGAGACATTCTCTGCAGTCACGGAGAGGGCAGCTGCCATAAGCCACCTATGCAGAGGGACAGCATCAAGGAGCCCATGACTCAGTTCCCCAACTGCAAGGAACTAAATTCTGCCAAAGAGCACCCCAATGAGATCCCAGATGAGAGCACAGCATGGCCAACACCCTGACTGCATGCAGCCTGTTAGACCCAAAGCAGAGGACCCAGCTAAGCATTGGCCAGACTCCTGACCCACAGAAACTGGGAAAGAGAATAAACATTAATCGTTTTAAGCTGCTAAATTTACAGCTAGTAACTTGTAACATAGCAACAGAAAACCATTTCAGCATCCAACTTAGTTTTCATAGAAGCAACAGCTTTCTTTCAGCACTCATATTTTATTTGTTGACCTCACTAACAAGATAACTGCCATAAACATACTTAAAACTAAAACATGATTCTTGATAAAAGTATCAACCAGCGGGGGAAAAGTAAAGAGCGAGCCACAAACATTCAGCACCCCTTATGTTTTAATGAGGGAATGGAAAAGCTTGGCTCATTTGCTCATCCAGGTAAGAAGAGGGCTAATACTGCTAGGGTTCAGTCCAGCTCCCACACAACCACATAAGCATGGGAGGCAAACAGGAGCCAGACTAAACAGTCCCATGTGTGCTGTGCTCCAGCAGTTACACGCCATCTTTAGGTGGGCCAGGGAATAAATGATCATAACTTAAGGCATAACTCAGTATCAGTGCAACGGATGGAGACAGAGGAAGAAATTAGAAACAGAAAATAATTTAGGAGCCTCTGTCAAGAGTCTCCCCAAAAAACAGTGACAGCCTAAGCAAAGATGAGGAAAGTACTTAAGACATTTCAGATCAAATGAGACAGATCAGACGTGAAAAGTGAAAAGGAGGTAGGGAACAAAATCAGATGAAAGAGAACTAGCTCGGTATTAACCACTGAGATTTCCACTAACTATGAACATGAGCATGGAGATCCTCTCCCCACACACACATGCGTACACTCGTATGCACAGCCACATTATGTACATACATACATACACACACACATACACAAATACAAATCCAGATCTTAACAGAGTGTCAGGACTAGAGATTCAAATCTCTATATGTTTGTCATTGAAAGTCTTAACAGAGAGTCAGGACTAGAGATTCAAATCTCTATATGTTTACTGATGACTCCTGATGGGAGTCATCAGTAAATGAAATATAGACCACAACCTGGAGGAAATGCCAATGCCCAAAGAGAGTAACAACATCCTCAACCCTGACAGCACATTGGGATTACCCACAAGGTGACTGCATCAGTGTTTCTGGATGCAGTCCAGGTTGAATAACATTGGTGTTTAGAGCTATAAAAAAGGAAAACAAACATGAATTAAAGAATAAGCCAAGGAAGAAGCCCAGTTTATGTGGAAACAAGAATTGTTACTACCATGTCAGAAGGTAGAAAAGCAGGGCAGAAGCTGTGTGGAAGGTGGAGACTGGGTATCTGGACGACTGAGGACACAAAGATGTAAATGAACCATGGACCCGAGTAACCACCATTTAAAGCACAATGGTCTGGGCATCTTAAAGGATTTGAGGAAAGAGGAACATTACTAAGGCAACAAAGCAAGCTTCCCTGGAGGAGGACATGAAAGAGCTAGGCTGTGGAAGGCAAAGAGGAAGCCTAGGGGAAAGCATTCCAGGGCAATGGAAGGAAAGCACAGAATCCCAAAGAGAAAGCCAGGAAATCAAAAATAATCACAGCATTGTAAGAACAGCCTGTACAGGAAATAAAAACTACCAATCTGTCATTTTAAGAGTATCTGTACAACTGTCTATTAGCTTGTCTTCATAAATAGCTAACTTCCATTAAAAAGTACCCAATGGGTGATGATACAAGTTTTAAATTTTAACTGTTTTTAGACAGAATCCAGATGCTTCTAATTAGTTTACTTGGTCTGAGGTTCCTTTTCCAATTTGTTCTCACACTCTTACTTTATGCCTCTAAAATGACATAGCAGGTAAAGTCATTTCACCCTGAAAAGCAGACAGAAAGAGGGGTATTAACAGGCTCAGTTCTAAGGAACAGTAAACTAAAACTCAATTATTGACCAGGATCACACAACCCTGAGGCTATGAGAAGTGGGATTTGGAAAAAGGCCTAACTCCCAAGCTTGTTCTCCTCTCAGCAACACCACAACATGCACCCACACATGCAGGGAAGAGGCCTGGGAGAACCACTGAGTCCCCCATATTGACGCTACTGACACTTGAACACTAAAGAGGATTGGGCAAGCCAACCCTTAAAGTATCTATTAAAATGACTACTTCAGGGGATGCCTGGCTGGCTCAGTCAGTAGAGTGTGCAACACTTGATCTTGGGGTTGT